ACATGACATCGATAACAATTTATTAATTTGTATAGACATTTATTTTTACTGTACAAAGCATTTTCTACGATACTTTATTTTCATAAAAACAACAAAAATATTGAATAATAAAATGAAACAAGATAAATCTGAAAATTTATAAAATAAAATAAAAACTAAATTTGAACAATTCATCCTGAAGGCAGAGATTGTGCTTTCCCCAGGGCAAACATTTATTTATAGAGGGTAGCAGATTCAGGTTTAATGAAACAATAGTTAAGAAAGAGTGAGCGTGTAATTTACAAAAAATACAGAATTTAACAAAACTTTGAAATTATTGTTCAAGTCTTCTTACAGCTGCAACAATCATTTTTTTTTTATATTTGAAATTACCCCATACATAAATGGAATCACCCGTTTCTGAAACATAAAACTAAAAAACAGGTTAAATTATATACAAATAATTCCTAAATAATTAATGCTTTGCTAATGTTGGATGGAATGGTTCAAATATAGAATTTTTTTAGTTGGTATGTAAAATTGCACCTTTGTATGTACACCTAATATATATATGGTTGATATTATTGACTCTCTCTGATACTTACTTGGACAATAATGTTGATACGTAAAAAGAAAGAAATGTGGAATGAATTTTAAATTATAGAGAATGGCAGTGTCTGCTAACAGCTAGCTTTTTTATTCAAATTTGCAAGCTTACTTTTTAAAATAAAGCTAAATATATATTTAATTATTTATCATTTGTCAAATGTACACAAGGCATGATTAATGTGTTTGGATTAAAAGCTTATGATAATCTGAAAGCTGTTTTAAAAAATTTAATATAATTATATTTTGCATTAATTTACCGCAGTTTCCAACAAACATGATTTTTAAAGATGTATTTGGACATGGATGATTTTTTTCTCCTAAATATATATCCATTTATTTACACCAGAACAAAAACTATGTGCAGTAGAGCTAAAAAAGGAACATGACCTATGATCTTGGAACAAAGTGTTTACATTTACCCCTCCATTGTGTTGATATAAAATCCACTTCAAAAAAATTACCCATAATTCAGTCTGATTTGAAACAGACTCCAACTGATCTGAAATTTCTTTACATTAATTTATACCAATCCTATCTACATATACACATTATTTGAAATTTCAAAACAAAAATCTGATTTTGTTTTTCCCTCAAAAAATGACAGTTGGCATTAGACCTTGTCTGAGAAATCATAGCGAGTTATGGGTAATTCCCAGGACTCTGGATACAGTATCACAAAGTATGGGATACATGTCATAAATGCCAAGGACTCTGGATACAGTATCACAAAGTATTGGATACATGTCATAAATGCCAAGGACTCTGGATACAGTATTGCAAAGTATTGGATACATGTCATAAATGCCAAGGACTCTGGATACAGTATCGCAAAGTATTGGATACATGTCATAAATGCCAAGGACTCTGGATACAGTATCACAAAGTATTGGATACATGTCATAAATGCCAAGGACTCTGGATACAGTATCGCAAAGTATTGGATACATGTCATAAATGCCAAGGACTCTGGATACAGTATCGCAAAGTATTGGATACATGTCATAAATGCCAAGGACTCTGGATACAGTATCGCAAAGTATGGGATACATGTCATAAATGCCAAGGACTCTGGATACAGTATCACAAAGTATTGGATACATGTCATAAATGCCAAGGACTCTGGATACAGTATCACAAAGTATTGGATACATGTCATAAATGCCAAGGACTCTGGATACAGTATCACAAAGTATGGGATACATGTCATAAATGCCAAGGACTCTGGATACAGTATCACAAAGTATTGGATACATGTCATAAATGCCAAGGACTCTGGATACAGTATCACAAAGTATGGGATACATATATTTTACAGTTTTTGTTACCACATGAAATCACAAATAGAGGATAATCATGTTTGAATTTCAGGCAAGCAATGTAATTTACACATGTATGGAACTCGTATCAAACATGATGTGTCATGTTGAGCAGCACCACTCAATACTGAACTGATTTATTTTTTTAACCAGTACAACGTTAGCATTCTTATTGGGAACAGGAAAATGAGTTTGTAATTAGATGAAAGACTAAAGTCACATGATATAATGTCTTAGCCAATGACTAAATCAACATAAAGAGAAAACTTAAATAAGCTGTCTGCAGAAACAAACTACTTACTCAAAATGCAATAAAATAAAACTTCTTTGTTAAAAAACAACAACAACCTCTATCTTACACTTACAGATACAATACATGAATTACGGTATGTTTCATTTAAAGCACCAAAAGTTGCCCACAAAATTGCCCCCCCCCCCCTCTCTAAAAACAAGAAGTACAGTTATTGATTTAATAAATCGTTATTTCATAAATTTTTTAAAATAGTTCTGTTTAAAAAAATGTCTTGCTTAGAGAAAAACAAATTTGGCTGACTTTACACAGTACGTATCACCAAATAAACATCCACAAAACTGTTTAATATGTATTTCCTTAGCTTGTGTACCCAATGCATTCCATATTGTACAGTTCAACTCCCAACTATTCAACGACACGTCTTTCCATCTGGCAAATGACTTCAATGTCATCAGAATAATTGATGGACAATAGACAAGCCCAACTATTGAATAATTTGAGGTGATATAATCAGACCATGGTATTTGTTGAAGTCATTCCATCAATATGAATTGGTGGTGGTGCACGTATGGGCATGTCATTAACATAGTCGTGATCTGACAGGTATTCCTCGCTACCCGCCTGTGATAACGAACCGCTTCCTACATTGTTCAAAACTTTATCAAGTGAATGTTTACTACCATCCAGTGAATTCATACTGGAATTGATAAGACTTCGCTTTGGTGGCGATCCGGGTGATGTCCCGTCAGAAGAAAGACTATGTGCAACATTGTTCCTATCACCACCATTAGGTGTTGTTAAAAGTCTATCGTTTTGTCGTTGGCCGTAATTAGGCACCATGTTTGAAGGCGACATTGGTATCAATGGTTGTCTGTTGTGTAATGCATTAGCTTCCTCCTCTTCTTGACTTAAACGATGATATTCAAGGTTATCTACAGCATTGCCAGGCAAAAGACAGCCTGGGGCATCTTCTTCTTCATCCTCCTCTTCCTGTGGCTCAAAATATTCTGTAAAAACAAAACAAAATTATTTTTATATAATGGAGAATACTAAAAATTGTAAGATTTGTGCCAAAACAAGTAAATTCTACAGAGCAAAGAAACAAAGGAGTATTGCATTGATTTTCGTGACATAGAGGGCGCTATTTAAAACTATCAATGGCTTTTGAAGATTAAAGAAAGCACTGCACTATTCTGCTGTTGTGTAAAACAAAAATTATTAATTTGCAAAATTGAAACAACGTATGTTTCACAATAAAAAAAAGTTGATTAATCGAATAAAAATAAACATAAATAATAACAGTTAGCAGTGCAAGTACACCACCAGAAAATGCTGTATATTATATCCGTAAAATATTTGCCGATTGACAATTGACTTCAAAGCATTCAAAGTTTCAAACAAATTCCCGGCACTTCTTGCATGATATGCGTCAAGATTAATTACAGCGCCAATGCATTGATGGTAGAAATAATTAGTGATATAATTAGTGATACAATTAGTGATACAGACTAAACTGAGTGTACACATATTACAGGGGTTAAATAACCAGGGTTGAACAGAACACACACACACACACAGCTTATACTATTATACCACTAATGTAAAGAATGTTCACAAAAGAAGAAGGTTCAAGAAGAGGTTTAATTTGTGAAAGATCTAAAAGTGACAGAGGTGATACAGAAGCTGCATGCAAGTTGCCAGTACCTCCAATACAAATGTGTGAGTTTGCAATTTTATTCACTGAGTTTATTTGCTATATTTTGGACACCGCATCAGGCAAAGATGCAACGTTTACATCAAACAGTTTATTGGTTCTCACTGATAATTATTTCCCCTCCATTTTTGCAACAAGCCCATCCAATTTAAGCAATGTACATTTCATGTTGTATGAAAGCGAAAAGTTCAACAATCAATAAAATAGACACTTTGTATTTGAGATACTGAGACCAGATTTGAACCGCTATGATCACATCAAACAGCCTTCTTTCTCACCTAACGCAGGTGAAGGTGACATGTTGATGACATTCATATATTGCGCGGGCAGTGAACTCATTAGGGAGAACTTTGGGGAAGGAGGAATGTACTCCTCTGAGTCAGTAAGTTGTGCTAAAAAAAACAAAAAAATAACATTATCATGCAAGTGTTATCTCATGCAACAGTTGCTTATCCCGTGTGACAACCAATTATAAATTAACATAACCTGGTGCAAGGACTGAACAGATAAAAACAAGCACAATTAAGTGACATGTATCAAATGTCCCGATTGGCTAGATAAAACAATGGTGCTTATTGGCTAATTTGAATTATGAGATACCGGTAATACAAATTACAAAGTTACTCATTCTGTTTTTTTTTTCTAACCTTTTCATTTATTGTCATATATAAAAGATTATTATTAATATCCCTAACCTACAGACCCGCCAGAAAGTATTTACGCACCACACTACAGGCAGCTACTACCTACGATATCATACAATAAAATAAACTCAATAACGGTTTGAATAAATATATTTATATATCTAATAAAATATGCGTTTTTACACACAATAAAAACAACAAAATTGTCATTGTCATGCAGGATTGAATAAAAACGGCAGTCTGAATGAAACAGTGAAAAAACGTTTGAATTCTCTATGGAGAATACCGTGTAAACGCAAGCTCATGAATATTCATGAAGACATAGAACGCGGC